TATCTGAAGTGTACCTGGCGTATAAGACGACCCCCCACTTGGAGGCATATTTTTCAGGGCCAAAAAATCGTCTTATACGCCGGCAAATACGGTACTCACATCGAAGTTTGCCTCACGAAGTATTTTCTTTGTTTAAATATTTGCAACTGTGTTTTATTATTGTATAATTCAACCCAGTCAGACCCTTTTAAAAATATAGAACTGCAGAAATATAATTGGATAAATAGTTTGTTTAGTTAAAAAAATAAAGTGTGACTATATAGGAAAGGCACTTCGAAGGGTATGAAAGAAATTTAAGGCATCAACAAAAAATAGAGATAACTACTTTCCACCTCACTTTTTTTAGGGAGCTGGGGTGGCAGGAAACAAGGGGCTTAGCTGAAATCTGCGTCCTAATCTCTGTCTCTGCTGAGAACAAGTTGGAAGCTGGCCCAGCTAGGAAGCAAAATTGGTTAATACAGTGTTTCTCAAGTGTGGCCTGCACCCTCTGCTTTAGAAATCTCATATTTCTAAATGTGGATTCCTAGGTTCTGTCCCATACCACTTTTAACAAGCATCCCCAAGAGACTGTTAGGCACAATACAGTTAAGAGTCCACGAACAAGCTTTGGAGGCAGCCAGATTCAGGTCTGAGGCCTGACTGCTATTTAGGCAGTGTTCTCTTGGGCCTGTTTATCATGCACAGAGCCCGAGTCTCTAAGGACAATGATAATATCCTTACAGAGATATTGTAACAATTAAATGGCATGCATGAAAAGTACAAAGCTCTTGCCTGACTCATAGTGAGAATGTAATAAATGGTAGCTTGGTAGTATTGTTAGTAATAATGTTAGTTTTTCTTTTTCCTAGAAGCTACTAGATGTCCTTTGTCATTATCTTCTAGGACTAATACAAAAGCAGCATTCCTCGACACCCTCATTCTCTACTTTCCCTGACTGGTCTAGCCTTTTCCCCCATTATCCTCTTCTGTCTCCATACTTTAACTGTCCATAGTTGGGTTTTGTTTAATTATAATTAGTGTTTATTACATTTTTGCAACTTAGTCTTTATCTGATATCCTAAAATACAACCCAGCTGGACTTATTTCTGTTTATGAGATATCAGACATGTTCCAGAATACATTCTTTCTATGACTAAAGATATTGTGTATATTAAAAGACGGTAGTTTCATCTCAAGTGGTCACAGATGTCTATATTATGGATTTGTAAAGAAATGTTCTCATTTGTGCTCTTTAATTTCTATTAAATAGTCCAATGTCTGTTATATAGGTACCTTAGAAAGAAATGTACTAATTTTATTTTTTAACATCTACACTTTTAGGTTTAACAATGATCCATCCATAGACGTTCTCTTACTTACAACTCACGTTGGTGGCCTGGGGCTTAACTTAACAGGCGCTGACACAGTGGTATTTGTGGAGCATGACTGGAATCCCATGCGTGATCTACAGGCCATGGACCGGGCCCATCGCATTGGGCAGGTAAAAAGTCACCACTCACAGGTGTTAACCTGTGAACTGAGAAAAATACTCCCCTAAAAAGACAGGAAGCCTTGGTTTACGTTCCTACTCTGATGTTAACCTAAGTGTTTGACCTTAAGCAAGTCACTTAATTCTGTGGCAGCACTTCCTCATGCATTAAATAAGGTAACTTGGACTTAAGAAAACTGGGACACTATCCATTCCTAATATTCTGTGATTCTCTGCAAACATTTTAAGCTCATGGGGCCAGATAAAACCCAGCCCTAATTAGATAGTAGTTAATTAAGTACTTGGTGCAAATATGCAAGCCCCCTGACTGTGAACCTCTAATTTTATCAATTTATTTGTGCTATAGTTGCTTAACTTCTTTTTCTCATTCAGAAACGTGTGGTTAACGTGTACCGATTGATAACCAGAGGAACATTGGAAGAGAAAATAATGGGTTTGCAGAAATTCAAGATGAACATAGCAAATACAGTTATCAGCCAAGAGAACTCTAGTTTGCAGAGTATGGGGACAGATCAACTTCTCGATCTGTTTACTCTTGATAAGGTAAAGACTTTACACTATTTGCTCTATCTTTAATGCATTTACAGATTTCCTGGAACTGCTTGGTGAAAGTATTGAAGGGAGCAGCAAAAGGTATTCACTTCAGTATCAACTAGACAACTCTTTGAGGGAATTTTTGATGTCCAGATAAAACTCTCCAGGATACTGGGGGATCTTTGAAGTTTAGACTTTCTGATTGATGTCTCCAGTGTCTTGCCCCAAGGTTTCTTTCCTTAGTCCTTTCTTGCTAAAGGACAGCTGTCACTGGAGTCAGTTAGACCTGGGTATGTGTTTCTTGCCCTGCCACCTATTAACTGGTGACTTTAGGCAAATTAACATCTTTGAGCATCTGTTCCCTTGGGAGGATAATGCCTATATTACTAAATGGTTAGGAAGGTAAAATGAAATAATATATGTAAGCACTTAGAAAGGGTATCTAGTATAGATTCTCAATAAATAGCCGTTATTGTGGAGGATGGAACTAATATATCAGATAACAATCCATAAAGAAAAGATGCACTAGCTGGAAATATTGGTCAGCCTAATAATGTAAAACTAATAAGGTTGGATTTAAATCCTATATAGGTTCAGAAAATCAGCTGCACACTTGGCATAATTATGATGAGATTGGCCTTTGATAAACTAGCTGTATTAACAGAATTGTAATGTCCAAATCTGAGAGAAAATAGTTCCACTGTACAAGGTGTGTTAAGCCACATTTAGAATGTTGTGTCTGGTTCTGCGTGCTACATTTTAAACAGTAACAAATTAGTAAGAGATGGCCAGAATGGAGGAAGGTTCTTTAATCATGTCACATAAGTTTGAAAGAACAAGATATGTGTAACCTAGAAAAAAGAAGACTCAAACATGGATTGCTGTGTTCAAATGTTTTTATTCTGTTTGTAAGAATATTCTTAGGGGTGACTTCTAGCGAGAACTGGGCTCAGGGGCGTGTTCCCCAGGGAAGCAAGAGCTGTTGCCATAAAGGAGTCTATTGGGACAATCGGCAAAATTTGACGATGGACTATATATATAAGATTATTTTAATATAAATTTCCTTAATTTTATCTTTGTACTTTGGTTAAAAGAATGTCCTTAGGAATACATGCTTATTTCTATCTAGGAATAAAGGGGCATAATATCTACAAACTTTCTCTTGAATGGTTTTGGGGGAAAACTGATTATTTGGCTATATATCTGATTTATACATGCATACACAGGGGAGAAAAACACAGAGCCAATATGACACAATTAACAATGAGTTCTTTGTAGTGTTCTTATAATTCTTCCCAAATAAAAGGCTTAAAATGATGAATAAAATTATTAGCTTATTCTATTTTTCCGTAGACCTATCTTATGAGATCATGAACTTCTGCATCACTTGAAGTATTTAACTCTTGAATAAGTGCAATGTTAGAAACAAGTGTGATATTTTAAAGGGAAATATAATTTCTGAAGTTAATATTTCATTTTATCTTTCTGCCAATTTTTCTTAAGGATGGCAAAGCAGAAAAAGCTGACACCTCTGCTTCTGGAAAAGCAAGTATGAAATCAATTCTTGAAAACCTGAGTGATCTTTGGGATCAAGAGCAATATGAGTCAGAGTACAGCCTGGAAAATTTTATGCATTCTCTCAAGTAACTATCAAATATTGTAAATGCAATTGCTGCTAGTTCGGTTACATTTCTGCTGATATTCAGCAAATTTCAAAGTTTATGGTGAACTTTTAGCTCAATGTGTAAATAGATATGAAGAATATTCAGCATAACGCTGGTTCTTGTTTCACTGGGAGGAACAAGTTATTCTCAAAGATTTGCACTGTATTAAATTTAAATGTTAATGTGAAATGGTTTAAATTTTACATGCTGAATAGCTGCAGAGCAGAGGAACCAAACCAGGTTTACACATGCTACCATGAGGTGTTCCTTCTGGGAGCGAGCCTCCTAGCTTTACACAGTCACTTCGTACAGGATTAACATCCATGTGTACTTTAGTGTTCATGTACATTTTTTCTTTTAAATGGAACTTGTTTTTATAAATGATTAAAAATAGGGCTTTTTTTGTATAAAAGCCTTAATGAGCCATAATTTTAAGAATAATGACTGACATTGGTCACTCTTAGAACATGAAAATCCTTGACAATGAATTGAACCAGGCCCTTGGTGGAAACCTTTATATATTTAATGCAGATGCGTAGTGTTTTTCAAATCTTTAACACCATTTTGTCAACTTTTAAAATACATCAAGTATTCTAAATACAGGTAATGGTCTATTTAAAGCTATCATAATAACATCCTATTAAGAGGGTGTTGTTGTTTTTTTTAATTTATCTAATGGCTAAGATATAGCCAGATTCAGAGAACATATGTACGCAGTAGGTTTTGGTCATATATATATATATATATATATATATATATATATATATATATATATACACACACACACACACACACATATATATATATATAATATATTTTTTGTAACTATGAACATATACAGTTTTCCAGAAGTAGATTTTACACCGTTTAGAGCTTCAAAACCTATGGTGAAAAGACTGTTTATCGAAGCAATGCATGACTGAAGCATAAAAGGGAGAAATAATTCCTTATATGTATATATACAAACATACACAAATAACACATATCTGTATGCACAGACATACCTATTCTGCATCTGAAAAGGTGCTTGGTATTGGCAGTAAAATCATGTAGTTATACTGGGCAGCAATAGTAATTGGGCCTGACGCTGATTAGTGTTAGAAAAGTGAGCTCAATGGTGAGGGTAGGTATATGTATATAGATGTGCATGTATGTGTATGTATATAATTTTATAAATTTCGCACATAAATTAATACATGCCTATGTGCATATATATGTATGGGAGATATTTGTATATACATGTATAGGTAATAAACATCCCCAAGGTTTGTGGCTGGCCATACACATAGGCATTGGTTTAAAAACCATCAGACCTCAGCTGTAAAATAACTTTTCTGTTTAAAATCATTAGTTACACTGTTCTGCAGCATTTAGACATTTGTCACATTTCAGTAGCTTTGACAACCATACTGTAAGATTAAACCTAGCATTCCACAAGAGAATAATAAATAAGATTGAAACTGTAAAACATGCAACTGTGTGTTATTTGTAGGAAATGAGCACTAGAAAAAGCAAAAGACTGAAGTTTTTAGTTCAGATAGAAAGGTTCTAAAAAAGCTCAATGCCTCTTTTCTTACTAATTAAATGGTTAATTTTTTCATTTTTTTAGGATTTATATTCAAATTGTAAAAGACCAAAAGGAAACTCTTGACTTTACATAGACCATCCACTGTACATAGCACTGGGTAGCTGAGCCAGTATACTTGAGTTGAATTTTTAAAATTATTTATTATTTGCTATTTCCACAAGCCAAACTATTTAACATAGCTCATAGGACTTGATATTTTCTATGAATATGTAGGGAGCAATATATTAAAGAAACAAGTTAAAGTTTTTTCCAAATTGAAAGGACAGAGCTGGAAGTCAGATGTTTAGACAGTTTGAATTTTAGAAAAGTAGACTATTTCTAGAAGCATAGACAGGAAAATGTTACTTGCCCGCTTATAGTTCCCACACTTTTGCCTCTAAGAATATAATAGAAATTACAGAAAAGTAATAGGCATTACATCACACATCCATCGCCTCTGAGTGGGGAAATAGGGTCAGAGGTAAAAGGAAGACTTAGTGTGACTATAACATTAAAAAAATAACCTTTTGAGTTATACAAAATTAAATCACACATTCCAGCTTTCCAAAGAAAAACACAAAGAGTAAAACACAAACAGTAAAAACTAAGTATTCTCAATTAAGTGACCCAGTTAAGAGTTGTAGTGCAGCTTAATAATAATAGATACATGGGGAAAATTGAACTGAGTAATGAATATTATTAAATTTATGGCTGTTAATTTTGTGGATGTGATAATAATATGGTAATGTTTTTTTAAATGTATGCATGTGGGAAACAAAACAAACATGAAAATGTTAATATTTTAAGCTGGGTAATGGGGTTCATGGATACCCATGTTGTACTATCCTCCCCTTTTTGGTTTATTATAGAAAATTTATTATATAAAAAATTATATAAAAATAATTATATATTCAGAGTATCAGTTATCATTACTGTTGCCTGTAGGAAAATTTTAAGTTTTTAGCACTAAAGAAATATTAAAGTTGGGGGTTCTGAGTATAATTTTTGTTATATGTAGATATCCACAAATGTTTCTCAAAAAAATATTCTAGTCTCTCAGCAAGAGCTATTATAATGGTTACAAGGGTGCAAGTCTCTGATCTTGGATTAACTGAACCAGTATAGTACATCCTTATTCCTTTTAGATGGTTAAATAAGCTTATTCAAATGTAAATACTCCCATGAAGCTGTTTGAGAATGTGACTGCTTATAGTTCCCCCACTTTTGCCTCTAAGAATATAATAGAAATTATAGAAAAGTAATAAGAATTACATCACACATCCATTCCAAATAATCCCAATACAATCTTACACTCCCTGATTCAAGACAAGACCTCCTCAATTTCCCAGAATACATGCTGGCATCAGTGGGATCTAAAGGGAAACTGTAGGAAAATCTCTTTATCAAGTGCCAGAGTACTCAATGTGGATCTATAAATAAAAAACTTAACCAATTAATAGGAAATGTTTACTAGTCACACAAATCAGTATCAGCCATCATCTCTAAGGAGGCAAAAATTGCCTGCTACTTCAAGAAAGGGTTCCTACTCTCTAGTAAATTCCCTGAAACCGCTGAAGTTTTGTTGAAGAATACAGGGGCCCAGATCCTAATATCTATGTTGGGACAAAAGACGTGGTTTCAGGCTTACAGGAGAAAAGGAAACAATAACTTAACCCCTTCCATAAAGCCACAAAGAGCTCATGTATTCAAACAGGACTAGCATAACTGTCCAAGAGCCCAGAAACACAAAGTTATCTATGAGAAATCAGAATCCCCGGCCTGCACCACAGGTAAGTTTAAGGTCTGGGTTGGTGCTAAGTATATACTGTAGGAACTACAAATCAAGAAAATAACAAAGTCAGTTCTGGCACCCTAGCAGAAGTGAATACAAAACTGCTCTGTAGGGACAGTTTCAGATAGTGTCTCATAGAATTCCATAGGGTGAAAGATTCTGAGATTAAGTTTACACACACACACTCACACACAAAATCTATAGGAGGCAATGAACTACCAGGAGGAAAAGTCAGCAGATGCAAATAGGAGAATTAATTCTTTAAGAACTGCATATAGAATAATTTGAAAGATCATAAAATAATTAAGATAATTAGATATAAAAATAAGGAAAAAAAATTAGGCAAATTTAAAGTAGATTCTATAAATGAAAAAGTTATTGGAATTCAAAATTTGATAGTTCTCAATGTATATTTAGACACAGTTGAAGAGAATTTGTGAACTGGGAGACTGATCTTACCAAATCACCTACAATAGCATTCTAATATTAATTGATTGAAAGTATGAAAGTAGGCAAAAATCACGGGAGAAGGAATGAGAGCATCTAATGTATGAGTGCAATTAATAGGCGGTCCAGAAGGACAGGGATATCATGGGAGAAGAGACAAGAAGTCACCTTTGAATTATGTCTATTTTTTGCACACCCCTTCATCCAATCCATCTGCAAATCCTGCATCTCCAAAATATTTTCCAAATCTCTTCACTTTTCTCCATCTCCACTGCTGTGGCTATAGTGCCCACCATCATCTTAACTGTCCTGGACTACTCTCTTCTAACTGGCCGTCCTGCTTGCCGAATCCTCCAGTGGCTTCCTATAACACTCAGGCTGATCCTGAACTCCTTACCACGGCCTACACGTCCTACAGGTTCTGCCCGCTGCCCGTTTCCCTGACTTTGCCTTGTCATATCCCACCATATTTACCTCAGTCAAGTCAGTCTGTCCTCTTGCTTATACCTCAACATAAAACCAAATGTGATCTTGGTTTTGTTTCTGGCATAGCGGGGTGAATGGTGTCTTGGGGAGATAATGGAAGACAAAAGGGAGCGAACTTGGGAGTGGTAGAGGAAAGGTAGGAAATCAAAAATTATCTTTTGGTCATTAAATTTGAGATTCCTATTATATATCAAAGTAGATATGTTGAGTAGACAGGTTCTAGATAGTAGATAGGAGTCTAGAGCTTATAAGAAAGATCACAACTAGAGACACAAGTTTGGAAGGTAATATTTTAAGGTATGGGACTGAATAAGATCTTCTGGGGGGTTATTTACAGAGCTAAATACTATACAGCAGTGAAAAATCAGTAATACATGGATAAATCTCAAAAACAAGTGTAAGTGAAAGAAATAAAATGTATAGTTTGAGCCCATTTATATAAAGACTAAAAACAGGCAACAATGAAACACTGTTTAGGGATATACAGACAAATCACATATATGTTTATTTCATGGTTGAAAAATAGAAGATTGACAGTCATATGCACAACATTTATTGATCACATCCTGCTCTGCCAAACACAATGGGAGAAGCTCAAAGACCAGTGGAGGAAGGATACTGAAGCCAACAACTAGTACAGTTAATTTCAGAAAAAGATTGGAAATGAAGCAAGGATGTGTCTCCACTCACC